GGGTCCTACTCCAGTCACTCCCTCCCCTCCACAACCTCTATTCGCACCAACTACACTCCTGGTGGGGGACTCTATCATCAAACACTGTAAGTTCTTCAATGCCATCACGCACTGCTTTCCCGGAGCCACTGTCCCTACCATCCTCACTAAACTACCCGCACTTCTACAGACAGCACCCCCCACAATAACCCGGATCATAATTCATGTTGGTACAAATGATGCTGCACTCCGCCAATCTGAAATCACCAAACTCCATTTTAAGGACCTTTTTAACCTTTTATCAAAAACCGGAAAAAGTGTTTTTATCTCTGGCCCTCTGCCCACGTTGAACCGGGGCGTGGAACGTTTTAGCAGGATACTATCACTCACCACTTGGCTTCAAAAATCATCACAGCAGCACAACTTTGGTTTTATTGACAATTTTAATTTGTTCTGGAACCGCCACCCCTTCTTCACACCCGATGGACTCCATATCAATAAACTCGGCACCCGGTACCTGATTTCAAACATCACCCACTCAGTTCAATCCCGTCCCCCGCACCTCTGACAACCCATCACTCCATCCCACATCATTCCTGCCCCGCTGGACTCCAACATCAGTCCCTGCTCCCCCCCCCAACAAGGAATTTCAGTTCTGTACAGACCCCGCCCCTACAGACCGTCCATACTCCGGAAACCGTCCCTCAACACCCTCATCCCTGTTGCCCTTTGCTCCTCCCCACATCATTTTCTCCCCTCACTACAAACAAAAATGACTCTCCATCCACCATCAGGTTTGCTCTTTTAAATGTACGCTCTCTTTTAAATAGAACTTTTATCATTAATGATTTGATTTTACAACACAAACTGGATGCTATGTTTTTAACTGAGACCTGGCTGGGTCCGGATGCTCCGGCTGTTCTCACAGAGGCCTCCCCTCCCGATTTTAGCTTTGCTTTTAAAACAAGAGAAGGAAGAAGAGGTGGTGGCACAGCCTCAATTTGGAAAAACACCCTGGCCACCAAAACCATCCATCCATCCATCCATTTTCTACCCTTTAATCCATTTCTGGGTCAGGGGGGTGGCAATCAGAGATGCCACCCAAGTCTCATAGCACCAGCCCCTCACTGACCCTCTGCAGGTGGTGAGTCCACAGGAGGACGGCTGCTCTCTGAGTGTGAGCATAGCCTTGATCTTTCAGTGGGGGCTTTGGGCAAAGTGGGGTTAAGTGTCTTGCCCAAGGACACAACGACAGCAGTCATCAGTGGGAGTCGGTGGAGAAGGTGCAGAGGTGGGAATTGAACCCACGACCTTCTGGCCTTAAGGCCAATGCTCTACCAACTGAGCTACTGTCGCCTCGATGGCCACCAAAACCATTAATTTTAACCAATACTCAAGTTTTGAGTATCATGCCCTTGTTTTTAGCAGCCCCGAAATTTTAGCAGTAACCATCTATCGGCCACCAAAAAAGTGCAGCCGTTTTATCAATGAATTTTCAGAGTTTTTATCTTTTTTATACAATTCCTATAATAGGATTGCTTTAACCGGTGATTTTAACATCCACTTTGACAACCCATCAGACCATTTTACCTGCGAGTTTGTAAGTATTTTAAATTACATGGATTTTACTCAACATGTCACACAGCCGACGCACAACAGAGGGCACACCCTCGACCTGGTCATTACTTATGGCCTGAGTGCGGGTGTGTCCTCTGTTGTTGACCTGGCTATCTCTGACCACTATTGTGTGTTTTTTAAAATCACTGGTTTTGTTAAACAGGAGACCTCTGTGAGAACTGTGAAGAAACGACGTCTAACCCCTGAAGTGGCTGCAAATTTTATGGACATTCTAAATAACACTCCTCAGTTGGTTTTACCTGCCCCCTGTGATTTTATAGCAGATGATTTTAACAGTAGACTAAGAACTACACTGGATCAGGTTGCTCCATTAAAAATTGTAAGCATTCAACAAAAATCTATAGCCCCTTGGAAAAATGAGGAAGCAAGGAGTATGAAAAGACAGTGCAGGGTGGCAGAGCGAAGATGGAGAAAAAATAAAACGACAATCAATCACGAAATATATAAAAACCGACAGCAAATTTTCAACAACACAATCAGGAAAAACAGGAACAATTACTTTGCAAAACTAATCAGCCAGAACAAAAATAATCCAAAAATCCTCTTTTCAACCATCGACACCATTTTAAACCCTGATTTTAGCATGTCTCTTTTAACCCCCACAGACTCCCTCTGTGAGGATTTTGCAGTCCACTTCATGGGGAAGATAAACACAATCAGATGTAACATTTTATCCAACCGCACAACTGTTTTTAACACATCTGATTGTTTGTCTTCACCAGAGGAAACACTGGACAGTTTTGTCCTGGTTGATGCTGAGATGCTTGATAAAGTTTTCTCCTCAGTGAGGCCCACCACATGTCTTTTAGATCCAGTCCCCACTCCATTTTTTAAGTCATTTTATGAATCTTTTAGAGAGGAGCTTTTAAACCTGATGAATTGCTCTCTTCAGACTGGGGTCTTTCCTGCAGCCTTCAAAGCGGCTGTGGTGAGGCCCCTTCTGAAGAAGAGCAATTTGGATTTTAATGATTTTAACAACTACAGACCGGTATCCAACTTACCATTTTTAAGCAAAATTTTAGAAAAACTTGTTTTTTTACCCAGCTCAATGCCTTTTTAGATCAGCAGCAAATTTTAGAAAAATTTCAATCAGGATTTAGGGTGAACCACAGCACAGAGACTGCTCTTTTAAAGATTTTAAATGATTTTAGACTAAATTATGATTCTAAAAAGGTGACCGTGTTGGTTCTACTGGATCTAAGCGCTGCCTTTGATACAGTAGACCACACCATTCTTTTATCCCGCCTGAAACACCTCGGCCTCTCTGGTGCTGTCCACAAATGGTTCACTTCTTATTTAACAGACAGATCCTTCATGGTAAGTTTGGATACCTGCTCCTCTCAGGTCCATAAAATCACATGTGGTGTGCCCCAGGGTTCCATTTCCTCACATCAAGAACATCACAAAAATAGGTTTTTATCATTTAAAGAACATCGCCAGAGTCCGCCCCATTCTCTCTCGGGCCAACACGGAGACGCTGATGCATGCTTTTATCACCAGTCGCATTGACTACTGTAATGCCCTGCTCTCTGGTCTTCCCAAAAAGAACATTTCAGGTTTACAATTACTTCAAAACTCGGCCGCACGTGTCCTGACTAAGACCAGGGGGCGGGACCACATTACACCGGTTTTAAAATCGCTGCATTGGCTCCCCGTGTGTTTCAGGATCGATTTTAAGGTTCTTTTAATGGTCTTTAAATGTCTTAATGGTCTTGGGCCTTCTTATCTTTCAGATTTGCTTTTATCCTATGAGCCTTCCCGGCCCCTGCACTCCTCCGGCAGCAGACTCCTAACCATCCCCAAAGTCAGGACACACACTCACGGCGAGGCATCTTTCCAGCACTACGGCCCCCGTCTCTGGAACAGTCTGCCGGAGGAGCTCAGGGCAGCAGAGAACGTTCATATTTTTAAGAGTAGGCTCAAGACGCACCTTTTTAGAGCAGCTTTTGATTAGTATTTATTATCTATTATTGCTTTTTAGTACATCTATTTATGTTTTTAGACGGATTATATTTTTATTTATTTTTATTATTTACTATTTTTAATTATTTATTGTATCTACCCATTTACTATTGTTATTATATTAGGCAGCTGCCATTTTTCTTTTTATTTTCACATTCTATTGTTCTACTTTCTATTGTATTATTGTATTGTTTTAGTGTCCCCAGTGTTTCCTCTGGAGGAGCCCTCTGCACTGAGAGCTGGGGTCTGCTGTGGCTTCGGGGGACTGGCTCTTGGATCCGGTGGGGGTCTGGGGCCTCCTCTCTCCTCTGGGTCCTATGGGGTCTGAGTCCTGGGCCTGGTGGGGTCTGGGGCCCCTCTCTCCTCTGGGTCCTGTGTCGTTGCCTGTGGCTGCAGCCGGCTCTCTGCTCCTGGTGCAGATGGCTCCTTGGATGACGCTTCTTCAGCCGGTTACATCTGCTCCCAGCCCCATGTCTTTTTATTGTTTTACCTATTTTACCTGATATGACTTTATACTTGTGTATATGTGTGTGTGTGTGTGTGTGTGTGTGTGTGTGTGTGTGTGTGTGTGTGTGTGTGTGTGTGTGTGTGTGTGTGTGTGTGTGTGTGTGTGTGTGTGTGTGTGTGTGTGTGTGTGTGTGTGTGTGTGTGTGTGTGTGTGTGTGTGTGTGTGTGTGTGTGTTTGTCTTTCCCACTTGGTGGGGACCGTGGTCAGACAGCACACTCACGGCGTGAGGACCGAAATTTTCGTGGGGACCAAAAACCTGGTCCCCACGAGGGTGACCATTAGATTCATTGAAAAGAAGGTCAGGGGAGTTCCCTGACAAATTTTCAGGGCTGACCCCAGATATCACATATATCTGAAAAAGTGTGTAAAAGTGTGTATAACAAGTCTCTCTCAGTGCTGCCAACTACTGGTCGGATCTGGTACTGCAAGAATACACACTTCACACACACTTGACTCATCTGCGCATGTGCGTGGAAGGATTTACTTCTCAGTGCCATTGACACGGTTGAGACATGAGTGAGAACAAAAAGGTAAGTTTAACAAATACTTATACAAAAACAAGATTTATTTATATCAGACAGTTGTATGAGATTAAATGCATGTGTTCGGCCATTGAGTAAACCTAGTTTACTTAGTTTTAGTTTAGTTAGGAACTTTGTTTCCTCAAGCTACCTCATGTTAGCAGAGCAGCTAATGCAAGCTAATGGGCTAACATGTGGCCTGCGCCATTTCTATCAGCACAGTGTAATCACAATGCATAAATTCGATTAGTATACAGCAAGTGCGTGTTGTAGTGGAATTAATTTATTTATATATCAGCTGGCTGGGTGTCCACCGGGTCTTGAGCGTGGAAACCCGCTGTAAACACCGGTACTCCACGCCCTGCTGAGCACCGGGGCTTCCCCACGTCTGTATGGCTCCCGCGGGATCCACGCACCGGGGCTCCCGCGGGATCCACGTCTGCATCTGCACCGGGGCTCCCGCGGGATCCACGTCTGCATCTGCACCTGCACCGGGGCTCCCGCGGGATCCACGTCTGAAAGCGCACCGGGGCTCCCGCGGGATCTACGTCTGCATGCGCACCGGGGCTCCCGCGGGATCCACGTCTGCATCTGCACCTGCACCGGGGCTCCCGCGGGATCCACGTCTGAAAGCGCACCGGGGCTCCCGCGGGATCTACGTCTGCATGCGCACCGGGGCTCCCGCGGGATCCACGTTTGCATCTGCACCTGCACCGGGGCTCCCGCGGGATCCACGTCTGCACGCGCACCGGGGCTCCCGCGGGAACCACAGCACGCGCACGGGGACTTATTTATATATCTGCTGGGTGGCTACCAGGTGTTGAGTGTGGTGTACATGCACCAGGGATCACGTCTGCACAGGTACCCATTGAGTGATTGTTTTTCTGACTTAAAATATAACTAACATCTGTCTTTATGTAATCTGGTCTACATTTTACTGTCTGACATAACTAAAACATATTTATTTATATCAGATAGTTGTAAACAATTCAAAATATTGAATATCAAATCTTTACTTAGTTTTCTATAGTTACCTCTTGTTAGCAGACCAGCTAACAAGTGGCCCATGCCATTTCTACCAGCACAGCACAGTGCATTGCATGAATATAATTGATATTCAGCGATTGCGTGTTGTATCTAATTCAAACAATATCATATGTCTGCTGGTTGGCCACCAGGTCTTTACTTCTCTTTAATTCAAGCTGTAAAAAATAATTGCGTCATCTGTCTCTATGTAATGTTGTGTAGATTTGGCTGTCTGACAAAACTAAAGCATAATTTTATAAAATAAAAGATGTATGGAGGGTGTTCTATGACATTGTTAATGCTTTGTATTTCAAAATAAGGAATAACAATGGCAACAAGAAGCAGGAGGAAACTTCCAATGGAGGACGCTACTATACATGCCACAAAAGCACAGGACAAGACGGTGGAATTGGATGTGCAATTCATTAACCCCTATAAAGGTACTGTATGTGTGTGTCATTTTTTTACATTCAGTAATGGCTTGACACAAATATGCACAAAAGTAACATTTTTCACTATAACAGTATTGAGAACATAGCCGAATGTGCAACACAAGATGTTCTGACCCGGTTCTTAGCATTAATGTGAGAAAGTCGAACTACATTATCCATTTGTCCAGGCGACAAGCATAAAATATGCAAAACACCCCAAACCACAAAACACATGCCTAAGCACCGTTAACTTGAGGCTATATCATTTTGTGATTGCGTAGTTTCTGAACTTAGTAGCTGCGGATTACTAAAAACTTGAGAAACACAAATGGTATACTACAAAGAGTAGATGTTAAATGGTGGGAATGCACAAGATTTGCACAACCTGAATTAACGGATTCCAGTTTATAAAATGGCATTTTTGGAAGTTTTAACACACGTTTATTATTTGTGACCGCGAGGCACTTGCTGCTGTTTCCTGTATGAACTCTGCAAGCTGCGGACGCTCTGGACAGCAGTTCCTCCAGCGGCTGTGATCACGCCGTTTGCTGATCAATATCCAAGACATACACGCACAGAACTATTCTCTGCTTGTAATGTGCGTGTCTTTGCTTAACCGGTGCACACAAAAAATACAGCGCAGAAGCTGGACTGCGGAGCCTCAGTCTCCTCCGCGTCTTCTCCCGAAGCGCACTCGCTAAATTAAAGCTTGGGTACCTAATTTTCCCTTCCACTACTTGTGTCCAAAAGTAATGGTGTAACCAAATCAAACAGATTTAATGACATTCTGCCTCAGACTGTTTTAAATATCCCTCATCTGTAACAAACATTAATTTTGGTTTGAGTCACTACAAATACAGTACATAGAACAAATACAGTGCTGTATTTGTTCTAATAAACAACTACAGTACAAATGAACACTATTTTGTCATGTATCTTTCCATTCAAACAACCATTTACCTGCAATATATGGCATCATTTTGTCGATAGTTCGAAATGCGATTAATCAATACTTAAGCTGTAATCATCTCTATATATATATATATACATTTTTTTTATCTTAAGTGAAGCTTTAAGGTGTTGAAAAATGACATAGTAAACACATGTGCCGGCGGGACATGTTTTTAACCAAACTGTAAAGCACGTTGTGTTGTTATTTTTTTGTATGAAAAGCGCTTTATAAATAAAGTTTGGATAATTATTTATGATATTAATGCTTTCTTATTTTGTTCAGCACTTTGAATTGCCTTGTGTATGAATTGTGCTATACAAATAAACTTGCCTTGCCTAATCGATTGATGTTTCTCTAGGTCGTGGGGTGTTTGCCAAATGCCAATTTGGAAAGGGTGACTTCGTGGTTGAGTACAGAGGAGATTTAATAACTTGGGAAGAATCACAAAGAAGGAGGAGGACTTACCACAGAGCGAGTGCCGTTTTTCTTTATGAGTTCTACTGGAAGGAAAAAATATGGTGGTAAGGTTTTGATAAATGTCTGCCTATTTTTCCAAGAGCAGGAGATTTTATAATGCTCAAATGGATAGCATGTATAGCCATTTCTAAATAGTTATGGACCTTCATTTAATTGGTAAATTAATGTTTTAATTAATATGAATATATGTTTTCCAATCTCAAGTATTGATGCATCCCGAGAAGATGGTAGCCTTGGACGACTCGTCAATGATGACCACAGGCACCCAAACTGCAAAATGAAGAGGGTCATAATAGAGGGCAAACCACACCTTTTCCTCTTTGCATTGAGGGAAATTCATCCAGGACAAGAAATCACATATGACTATGGGGGAAAAGATTGGCCATGGAGAAAACAGGTTTGTCATAATTAGTAAGATTATCAATGATTGCTCTAGTGTAACATTTCATTATCCAGATATTTTTTCTTGGATTTAACTATATACTGGTGGGTCTGCCTGTCTACATCCAAGTGATTTCATAATGAAATATAATGATATATAGTATAGTTATAGTTATTTTTTTTCAGACACTAGAACAAAGTGATGCTGACGTTGAGTCATCTGACAGTGCAGTCTTCTCTGCTGTTCTGGAAACTTCAGAGAGGCCCTCAACTTCCACCATGAAGGTAGGAATGAGTTTGTTCTGCAATGTTTGCTCTTGTGCACACTGCCTGGTTTAGGTGATCAGTTCCATTTTTGTCTCACACATGTTGCCAAGCGGAGTCTGTTTTTTCTCATTTAGTGGGGACCAACCCGTCTTTTACTGTTATTACACACTTGTCTGGTGTCTGTATTTGTGGGGACCACGGTAGTTGGGTTATACCCTCATTCATACAGCCAACAAAACACAATCTATTACACGTGGCCCATACCACTAGCTAAGTTTGTCTTGTACAGTTTACACCAGTTCTTCTATCACAGGTCAATTCAGATCAGTTCCATTTTGGTTTCACACATTTTATCAAGCACAGTCTGGTGTTCCTAATTAAGTGGGGACCACACTTAACACACTTGTCTGGTGTCTGTATTTGTGGGGACCACGGTTGTTGGGTGATACCCTCCACATTTACTCACATTGATTCGTCACCTTCATTCATACAGAAAACAAAACAGTGTCCATTACATGTGGCCCGTAACACTAGCCACGTTTGTCTTGTACAGGGTACACCAGTTATTCTATCACAGGTCAAAACAACCCTGTAATGCTTGCTATTCACTTGTTTTCAGTTGTAGCTTTCACTGAAATACTGTAACAGGCTACACTTCTCACACTTTAACCAGAAATAAGTTCAACCTATTGAAAATACATATGATTTTGGGGCCAGAACACAGAGATATAGATGTTCATTCCAATGTATGCTTTTCTCTTCTAAACTAAGCTGATTTATTTACCTAAATAATTGTTTTACTGTTGAAAAACTTCCCATTGCCTATGAATGTTTATTTCTCTTATTTCAGACACAAGAACAAACAATTGATGCTGACGTTGAGTCATCTGACAGTGCAGTCTTCTCTGCTGTTCTGGAAACTTCAGAGAGGCCCTCAACTTCCACCATGAAGGTAGGAATGAGTTTGTTCTGCAATGTTTGCTCTTGTGCACACTGCCTGGTTTAGGTGATCAGTTCCATTTTTGTCTCACACATGTTGCCAAGCGGAGTCTGTTTTTTCTCATTTAGTGGGGACCAACCCGTCTTTTACTGTTATTACACACTTGTCTGGTGTCTGTATTTGTGGGGACCACGGTAGTTGGGTAATACCCTCATTCATACAGCCAACAAAACACAATCTATTACACGTGGCCCATACCACTAGCTAAGTTTGTCTTGTACAGTTTACACCAGTTCTTCTATCACAGGTCAATTCAGATCAGTTCCATTTTGGTTTCACACATTTTATCAAGCACAGTCTGGTGTTCCTAATTAAGTGGGGACCACACTTAACACACTTGTCTGGTGTCTGTATTTGTGGGGACCACGGTTGTTGGGACAGACTACACTTCCGCAGTGGAAGTGTGTAGACGTGTTCCTTGGTGCTCCGCTGCTTGCTTCGCTTTGTAATCTCTTTTAATCGCTTTATTTACATTTTTATTCTACAAAACACGGATTACTCCTTCTGCAGACTTCAGCTTTGTGAAATTTGTCAACATTAATCATGTCCGGGACGGAAGAAACGAAGACAAATCTGCGATGGCTGCTGCTCTCTGGAAAATGAGCTCAAATTTCTTCAAAAACGGATGGATATTTTGGAAACAGAAATGGGACTTAACCCGACTCTTCCAATGTGTGAAAATGGAATGAATGGACAGACTGGAAATGTAAGTTATGATGACGTAATTACTTTTCCCAAAATCAACAAAGAGAACTATTGGAATAAATGCGGCGCTAAACCCAAAGTTGACAAAGCTAAGAATGACAATGGGAGTGGAATTCTGCCACGAAATGTTTGCAAAACTTCAAATCGTTATGCTGCTCTGTTTGAAGAAGCAAAGCCACAGTCTGTTTCTCCCCCTCCGTCAAGGCCACGGTGTTTGCTGCTTGGAGATTCAGCCATTCGGAATGTATCTTTGAACTTTGCACACACTTATTCTTTGCACTCAGCCAGAGTGTCTGAGATAAGAGCTTTGGTGCCAAAAGTTTTATCTCAAACCAAGGATGTAAGTACATTGTTGATACACACAGGGGCAGTAGACATTTATGAGAAATCCACCGAGAAGTTGAGAAGAGATTTCTCTCTGCTGCTGGATGACCTTAAAAAAATTGAGTTAAACGTGCTAATCAGTGGCCCCATTCCAAATGCAGATGGAAAAATCGAGAAGTTTAGCCGTCTGTACCAGTTAAATTCATTTCTACACAATGAGTGTTCACGCAGAGGACTTGGATTCATTGAAAACTTCAATCTGTTCTGGAATAGGCTCGAGCTCTTTGAAGGGAAAGGCCCACATCTGAACAAATACGGAGTAAAAGTGTTGATGGATAACTTTGCATCTGCCTTAAGACCTCAGCCTGCGCAGCGCGTTCAGCCGTTGAAAGAGAGGAGGATACAAAGGGCGAGACCCTCATGGAACCCAGAGGTCTCGGCACCTCCACCGCCTCAAAAGAACTCAACACGTCCACCAGCATCATCATCAGCAAAGGATCCAGCACCAGCACAGCAGCAGTGGCTGCCACAGCGTCATCAGCGCCTTCAGCATCAGCACCACCAGCACCAGCTGTGGCTGCTGCATCATCTTCAGCAGCACCTTTCCCACCTACAGCTCCCGTGAAGCCCCCCCCATTGCTACAGGCTACAGTCAGGCCTGCACTGGGGGCCTCTCAACCACCTCCGTCTCCACCAAAGACTCCCTCATCACCTTCCATGGACCCGGTTTGGGTCCCCCCCCGCTACATCCACTCCATCTAAGGAACATGAGGACGACCTTTCCCTGTGTTTTCCATCACTATTGGATTTACCGGAACACTCTGCAGGCATGATAAGATCGGCGATGAAGAATATTCCTCTCACACCCACTGTAGCCAGATCAAGGGTCCTATCTAACATTCATAACTTCTCCCCATACGTACCTCCAAAGCCACCTAGGGCGTCCAACTCAAATTCTCCCACAAAATCCACCCGTCCCTCAAATTCTAACTCGAATTCACCCGCAAAATCCACAGGTCCCTCCCCTAACCCCAAAACCATTCCAGCCCCTCCCCCACCCCCCCCTCGTTTCCCATCACCAAGAACCCCTCCACCTCCACTCCCCCCTCGTCTATCTCCCAACTCCTGCCCCTCCCCTAACACCCATCCACCTCCAACCCCCCCTCGTCCAACACCCAAGAACCACCCACCTCTCCATCCTCCTCCCTCCTCTCCCTAGGATGCACAGGGTCTCTGCTTCGCAGCCACTGGCAGTCTAGTTAGAGGAGAGACCCGGCTGGGGCCCTGTCATGAAGCCACCTGGCCATTCCCTTTGATAACACAAAGAATGAATTACTGACATCTCTTGGTGTTGGAACTCCTGTGCCTTGCAAGCAACCAAAGGAAAAATCTAAGTGAAAAATTTTCTCCATTGTGCATATTGTCAGGGCTTGTTTGAAAAAAAGTCCTCTGGAGGCACATGAAGACCTGCAAATTCAGGCCGAATATTCCACTAAAACCTGGCAGAACACTGTCCAGGCCAAGTCTTTTCTGTGGCTTTACAGTGCCTCCACCGACAGGAGTAAAGGAAGAGCTGTGGAAACTATTGAACAACATGGTGCAAGATGATGTGTTCCATGCAGTGAAATCTGACACTTGTATACTAGAGTATGGAGAACATTTGTACAACAGGCTGGGGTATGATGTCAGCAAACATGAGTATATTCGACAGAAATTAAGGGAACTGGGAAGACTGCTATTGTGCTCCAGAAAAAACACCCACCTGAAGACAATTAAGGATCACATCAAGCCTGCAAATTTTATGCACGTGATTAAAAGTGTAAAAGAATTGGCAGGGTATAGTTCTGAAAAGCATTCATACAGTTGTCCTAGTCTGGCATTAAAAATAGGATACAGTTTGAAAAAAATATCCTTGCTTGTTGAAAGCCGTTCAAATGTTCAAGGTAACTCCACTGCTGCAAAAGAGGCACAAATATTTCGCAGTGTCTATGAAGCCAAATGGAATGAATTAATATCTGCAGCATCTCTGAGAACTCTTGAAGAATCCAAGTGGAACACCCCACAATTGATCCCTTTCACAAAAGACGTCCAGACACTTCACTCCTTTTTGGATGGGCAGCAACAAGATCTTCTCTGCAAGTTATCCTCTGACACATCCCCCCAGACATACTCGCAGTTGACAAAGGTAGTTTTGACACAGGTTATATTGTTTAACCGACGAAGAGCTGGAGAAGTGTCAAAAATGTCTGTCTCTGCCTATACATCAAACAATGTATCAGATCCACAGGAGGACATTAATGTTGCTCTTTCAGATCTTGAGAAGAGACTGTGTAAACACTTCAGACGAATCGAAATCAGAGGCAAACGAGGAAGGAAAGTACCTGTGCTTTTGACCCCAGAAATGCAACAGGCATTGGATCTTCTTACCAGCAAAAGGAAAGAATGTGGGATTCTAAAAGACAACTTACACACCTTTTTGCAAGACCATCCAGTCTGATGTACTACCGTGGCTCTGATACTCTTAGGTACTTTGCAAAGGCCTGTGGTGCAAAAAACCCTGAATGTCTGACGTCAACAAAATTACGTAAACAAACAGCGACCCTGTCCCAAGTTCTCAATCTTAGTAATACAGAATTGGATCAGTTAGCTGACTATCTTGGACATGACATCAGAGTACACAGACAGTTTTATAGATTGCCGGAGGGAACTCTCCAACTTGCTAAAATCAGCAAAATTCTTATAGCTCTGGAGCAGGGACGTTTGGCAGAATTCAAGGGCAAGTCCCTGGATGATATCAACGTTGATCCTGAAGGACCAAAAATGATATTTATTTTATTTGTCAAGTAAAGTTTTCATTCTGGTTTTCTCATTCATGCTCTTTTAAGACTCCTTTTATTGTATAAACAAATTGTCATTCACATTCATATATTCTTACTGCTAAATGTATACAGTTTTACTCAAACAATCCTATCACATCCTCATAGCCTTTCTCTCTCTTCCACAGATACTGTAAACTTTGACAGTGACCAAGAGGGTGACCAAGAAGGTGACCTTGAAGACTCACTGGGTAAGGCCGCCTCTCCCTTTTGTTATCCTGAATCATTTAATTGGGTTACTATTTTTAAAATATATTGTTTTAACACATACTATGTATGTATAAATGTGTGTGCATGTCAGCTGAATTTCACTTCATTACAATTGATACAAATATAGATTTTATCATTCAGTATTAGGAAGATATTTCAAATTAGATTGGAAGTGTGGTTAAAAATTAACCCTCTAGGCACGTCGACTTAAGTCGACAAGCTGCGGTACTGTTTAAAACGGCCGAGTGTGTCCAACTGAGTGTCTGAGGAGACAACAGCAGCAGCAGGAGAGTCGCGGTGACGCGCTTCACCTGGAGGTGCGCGTCTGGGCAGACTGCTCACAGCAGCAGCATGTTTTGTATTTTTTACTATTTTCATGAACATTTACAATGTTACAGTGTGTGTTCTGTGTGTGTTCATGTCCTAGTGATCAATGTATGTCTGTCCAGTTAGAAAAATACAAATATTGTATGAAAATTCTAAAATCCACTATTTCTAACGCCAAATTACGTCATAATATGCAAATTAGATGGGGGAATTTATTCTCTATATAAACTTTGGACCATCTTTAATATTTTTCTAATTTACAGAAAGCCTTTATCACTTATCACTTTTAAGTTGTAGCCTTTTGAAATAAAGATGTCAAAATTGAGCGTTTTGGAAAAAAACCTCTGGCGCTTAAAGGGTTAAGAGCTCAAATCAAATTTTCTTACTAAACAGTCCACTATCGTAATAAAGAGAAGCATTTGATGCATAATCTTTTTTTGATTCATTTTGTATTGATTGTTAATAGACAAATTTCAAATAAAGGACAAATGCAGCCCGCGGAAATTCAATTTGGTAGACGTCAGCCAAAGTTACCCCCTCCAGGCCGGTTCACATCCCCAGCCT